CGTTAGTGGTTATTTTCACACAGTACAGAGCTCAGTTAAAAGTCAAGGTAAATCCTAGCCTTCATGCTCCAATATTCATTCCATCAAGTTGATTATTTGTCTTTTGTAGACTGCTTGTTTAAAAATGTATTTCTTTAAAACAAGTCTGAACTAAATATTGAATAACATTAAGATTTTATAAACACACACACACACACACACACACACACACACACGCAAACTTACATTTTGATTTAGATTCCTTGCATTGTTTTTAAGAAAATGTGATTTTGGTAATATTTGCAGTATGTTTTAAAGACCAGCAATTTAATGACCAAACAGTGCCTTTACGAGTGGTCGGACAGGGTTACCTAGTTTGGCATGGCTGCTCGTTGCACTTGCGAATCTGTGGCTCTGGCTTGGTTAAGTATTTGCATTTCTTGTTGTCCACGATGCTGATATTTTTGTTCATGATTTTTGTGCAAGACACTGTTGTCTTCCTTTCTCCTGAAAAGAGCAAATAAACATAAAGAAATGTTATTATAGGCTTTTATCGAATGGATTTAGGAGGCGTTCACAGGCTTGTACTAATTTTCAGAGATAGTTTAAACAATTTTAGGCTAGATCAATGAAAATGGTGTTATTTACATAACAAAACATATCTCTAGGCTTAAGGAATGGTAATTTTTTCCTTGTTAGAAATTAAATGGCAAGTTTTCCATTACAAAGGTATTGTGGCACCATAAGCTGGCAAGGTATTCATTAAAGGCTTGTAAAGGACTATGCCATCTTTAGCATTAACTAGCACTATGTGGTAGAAAGATGTATTTGCGTAACACCTATGTGCCTTCACGGGAGCACATAAACCCACATAAACATGCTGCACACTTTTCACTTGGTTGTACATCATCCGTGCTCTGTGCTAAGTTACGGAAAACAAGCTTAGAGTATGACTCAGACCTTTATTCTCATGGCCTCCGATAAGGACCCCAAGAATTCTAGAAATCCCCATTCCCTCATGATTGTCGTGTTCTCTATGAATAGCCATGGGTCCCTTACTGTTATTCACCAGATTTCAGAAAACTGCCTTTTCTACTTTGTCTGGCATGATAAAGCCTGATAATAGGAAGTAAAAGTGACCATTCGTTCGCTGTATTAATTTTTCGTAGAGCCCCATAAGCGCACTTACTTGACAACACTATTATTTTACCTTACACTTAAAAAGACTAATATATATGTGCTAATTTCTGTTTCTCTATAAAAGTCAAGTATCTCTATAAGATTTAATAATCTAGTTTAATTTACTGTTTGACACTATAAACTAATTAAGTCAATCAACAACTTTAAAGCCAGATAGATTAGGATTAAGAAAAAAATCACGAGTCTTCTAAGTCACTATTCAAAGGCCCAACGGTTAGGGTCCTATGACTAATGCAAGGACAATTAGGAAGCTCGGAGTGTTCCTGCCAAATAGGAGAGCCTGGGCTGGTGGCAGAGGTCATTCTGTCAATAATTAACAGAGAGGGAAGACTGGCATCAAGGGGAAAAAAGAGAGAGAGAGAAAGAGATACTTAAATAATTTTTGAGTATCTTTTACTTTGACTTAAGTGGGGGGTTCGGAGGCCACGTGGAAGGCAAAGAACAAGTTCAGGATCTTCCCTGGGTTTCCCTCAACATTGAGCGCAGTCCCAGGACAACTTGTAGTATGAAAACATGAGTACGCCTGTATACACATGTAGATTAACCAACAATGTATCTGTGGTTATTGCATGTCATGTAACCAAAAGCACTTAGATCTTCAGTTGTATCTTCTAGCATAGGCCGCACAACATTAAATTCAATCATAGTCATGTTTAATACCCCCCAACTTCACACAAATTTCAAATAAACTGCTCAAGAAGCAGAAATGACTTATGGTCATTTTTTCCCCCCCCAAAAAAACTGGCCCCACAGGTAGGAGATATCTGAATGTAAGAAATTGAGACACATTTTTGGTCAAGTTCCTCCTAGTTTCTAATGCTTCAGGTGTTCCTTTATGACTTGACGCATATATTAAATAGATATTATGCCAACTTTGTATCACGCCAGCATATATATTATTTCTACAATACAGTGATGCCAACCTAAAAGTGGGATTAAAAATGTTACATTTATGAAATATGAATGTTAGTTTTAAAATCCAATTTAAAGCCTTCATAGTCATAGAACACTCTTCCACAGAATAGATATAGTTGCATAAACTAATTTAAATAGTGGCTTTTTTTTTTGCCAACTACGACACAAGAAGATGACAGACATTGTCCAGAAGGCTTTTGCTGAACATATACGTAGTTGCGGAATAAACAACTCAAGGCTAATTATACTGCATTTTCCTCAGGAAATATCTAACCTTAGTTATGTTACCCCAGAGCTAATATATTGAGCTATTGCAAAAAATCTTTTAAGTATAAGTATTGATATATCAAAAGGGATAAAGCTATCAGCACCGCTTCAGGGAGCGCCTAAGTGGTGCTCTGAGGAAGCTTGAAAGCGTGTGAATGTGAATTGGGACATTTCCACAATGCAGCAAGGAAGCTCACATCGTAAGTTTTTTGGCAGATAAAAGAAACTTAGTCCTAATTTAAAAAAAAAATTTTGAACAAAAACAATAGAATCAGGACAAAAAATCTATTGCTGAGCTACAGACACTGAATGCCTATGAAAATACAACTAAGATCATAAAGCCATATGGAAATGTTATTGTTTGATTTTTTCTTTTATATATTTTTATGTCCCAGCCAACACAGGAAATTTCCATTCTAGCATTTAATAGCAGCATTTATAATGCATCCAGCTCTGCAGACCCAGGGATGAACAGAGTGAAGTCACTGGCCTCCTGCCTGACCCACGAGTAGCTGCAGGCTGTTGACAGTGTATTACTTGCTTTATGGCCATTTACGTCACCCCCGGGTCATTCCCATTAAATCCAAACTGGGGAAATCTGTTTTGATGTTTTGAATACAATTATGAATAAAATAAAAATAGCCATTATGCATTTGTCTCATTACCAAATTTGGGCAAAATCTGAAAATGTAAGGTAATTTTTATTTACTGACTCTTTCTAGATAGATACTCCATTGTGTTCCTTCTTCCCCAGGCTCAGAGATAAGCTGATTCTTTTTTTCTAGGCTCTGTATTTAACTCCTGAAACAAATACTTTTTATAAATCTATATTCTCTCCAGATCACATTTCTAGAACTTGCATCATAAATGCAGAAGCACGTCCTTGGGAGTGGGCCCTGTTCCAAAATGCATAATTGAAACTCCCTATATGTTACCAGACATTCCAAACTTTTAAATAGATACATAGAACTCTGTAAGACAGAGTCTATATATATTCATTTGTCTTCATAAATTTCTTTTAAATTATTTATTTATTTGTTATTGAACTAACAATGAGCAGCAAGCAAGGGACCCAAAAGTAAATACACTTTAATGGGGCTGAAGCACTTTTCTCTGAGCACATCTTAGAGATACATAAAATGCTGGTTCTTTTCTAAGTATAAATTTTTTAAACTTCAAGAACTTCCAAAGTCATGTCATTCCATTGTTGTTTTTTTTTACATTTCTATAAAATAATTTTTCTCAGGTTTTGGGCTTAATATTAAAATGACTGTTTTGTTTTTTATTTTAGAAAACAAGCTTTTATTTTGTATTGTGTGCTACACCCAATATATAACCCAAACTGATTTTGCCATTTTCATACACAGATATTTAAATGGGATCTCATAACTTTCAAGTTAAATGCAACTCCAGTGCTAGCATAACACTAAAGGACCTTCATGAACTAGTTTCTTTCTACTTTTCTGGTCAAATCATTTCTCATAGCTTGATCCTCCTGTTTTACACCATAGTAATAAATATTCTCACTGAATCCCAGTGCCTTTGCACCTATGCTTGTCCCTGGAAGGCTTTCTTCACCTCCACCTATCACTCTGCATACTGATTTTGTTATTATCTGTCCTCTACTAGATGGACAGAGAATTCTCTAAAAGCAGAAAGCACTCATCTTTTGACCACCCAACAACAAGGAGTGCACAGTCAGTATTGGTGAAGGAATCAAAGAGTGAAATATAAGCATAGAATTCAAGCCCAAAGTGCCTTCTGTATAAAGAGGTTCATCTTAACACCATGTTTCCTAAAATGGTGAAAAATCATCTGCAAACTAAATTACAAATTATGAGGAACAGTTATCTATATAGTAAAACAGTTAATGGGTTATCATTTAGGTATTAAAATTCAAGTTTATAAAGGGTTTATGTTAACATAAAAATGATTCTACTAATTTAAAGAAAGTAGAATACAAAATTGTATTAATTTTATTGAAATAAAGTAATGCAAAAAGAAAATATATTTTGGTGGGGTTTTTTGTTTTGTTTTTTTGCTAATGACATTTCTTTTGGTACATTCAACATGGCTCTAAAATGGAAAAACAGAAACAAAGTACACCCCTGAAAATGTACAGGCATTTGTATCCCGAGATGTTTCCTCAACTTGGACCCAAAGGCCTGGATGCCTCCCTAGAATCTGGTCACGGGCACAGAGAGCTGTGTCTAGGATATCACAGTACAAGGCCAACATCATGAGAGTCGTAAGCTCGTAGGATTTGGACCCATATGAAGAATGTGGAGTGTCATCTTATGTTTTTCCCCTTTAAGTTGTACCTATTTAGATTTCCTAAAAGCATGTTCAACTCTTCATTTATTTCAAAAAGAGGTTATTGAATTTTAAGGTCCTCCTTCCAGGTTTTTTTTCTTTAATTTATCCACTGGATCACAACAAATCTTGACATAATGCAGTTGCTGTATACAGTGTGTGAAATGCAGATTCCACATACAACCTCGGATACATGGAATGAATGCTACATCTCTAATGCCTCGGAAGGGCCAGATCACTTAAAACAGGTCTTTTGTGTCAAACCAAAATAAATTCGAAACATTCCTTCCAAGATGTCTTAGGTGTTTCAGAACACTAAAGCAAAGTAAACATTTATTTCACAAGTACATTTTAAGCTGTTTGAAAACAAAAGGACTGATTTCAACAGCCAGTGTTAAAATACAAAATGATATATCCATTCAAATTTTTCAGAATTATCATTAGAATTGAAAAGATAGTGATGAAATATGTCTATATTTTAAACTGTTGGAAACATTTACTTGAGATCACCAGCATCCATTAGATATTTTAAGAATAGTATTTGTCTTAAAGAAAGGATTTTTATTTCTTTAGGCTTTTCATATCTTATAATAACTGATATTAGTAAATTACTAGAAATTCATAAGTTAACTTTATTTTAGATTATCATTTTAAAATGAAGTTGAACACACTGATGTAAAAGGTTGTTAGAATAAAAATTTAGCTATGTGATGCAAGTCAACTTTAAAAAAAATTTTCCCCCACTTATTTCTTGCAATCTAAGGCCTTACAATAGAATTCAAAAAATAACTTCTGTTAAACAATGAAATTTT